AACCAAGAAAGACGATCCTTTGCCGCATCATCATGCTGTTGACGTCAACCGAATCGAGCGAGCGAGGCATGCCCGCAGGCCCGCTCGTCGGCGTGATTAACAACCCCGTGTCGTCCATCCACGCCTCGCCACGTGTTCGCGCCGTCACAGCTGCCGTCGATGTGGCAAGGATTCCCTTCGCCCCCGCCCCTTGCTTGCCTCGCCGCCGCTGCGCTTCCTCTTCCATACCACCACTCGACAATATCAAGAACTGATCACCGTCGTCGGCACTTCCCCTGCATCTAATGCTGCCTCCAGTTGAAGGTGCTGGCAATGGAGATGACAATAATCTCATCAACAGCATCGACGACGATGAGCTCGACGGCCCGCGTTGTCCGCTGCATCCAGCGTGGCAGAGAGAGAAAGAGACACGTGGCTTCCTCGATGCGGCGGATTGCGCTGAACGGTTCGCACGTGTCTGGCAGCCGACACAGAGCTCAGATCGACTGGCTATGGCGGCGGCGGCGGTCGCGCCGCGCAAAGCTGCCGCCATCGTCCTGGTTGTCGAGCCAACGGGCAACCTGTCAGTCTACGTGGCAAAGTCAAATGAGAGAGAGACACGTGGACTTCAAAAAAACAAAAAGAACGGCCACGTGAAAAAACGGTGAATTGCCGGATCCTCGCGCGCGGCCACGGCTGTGCTGGCCCTGCTTCCCGCGCTTTGCGCTGTGGACGTGGGAGACCCAAAAACGTAGGCAGGCAATTCGCCACACAGCGATGACCGAAAACCGCCGAAGACTGGAAACCGGCGGGACGTTGTTCCCGCCGGCGGCCCAGAGGGTATCCGCGGTTCCCTGACGGGGGCACCGGCGGAACCTTCACGGCTGCCGGGGCAAGGTCCCACTTGCACGGATTACGAGAATCTGGCCGTTGATCTTTGTTATCTACGGTCAATATCGCTTAATTCGTGTAAGTGGGACCTAGCCCCCGGTCGTGTCCTGCCCAGGCTCAGCACTGGCATTGCGATGGAGAGATTGAGGATTCTATTCAGATCAGTCAGCCTTTCCTGTGCATGCTAAGGTCGGTGGTAGATTGACACCCCAAGCAGTTGCACCCCAGCATAGCATAGTTACTGTGTACCGCGCACAGCGCGGAGGCGCAGCCTGGAGGGGGGAGGGGCGCATTACCGGTCTGCCGGACGTGAGGAGGACAGCTTTGGTCCGAAGGGTTTCGGGCATTTTTTTCAGAGGGATACATTGCGAAATACCCCCGTAAGTTGAGATATATGCCAAAATTCCCCTAAAAGATGTGGGTAGAGCGGAATGCCCCTCTGACAAAAAGCAAAAATTGGGAAATACCCCTAGCGTCGCTTGGACCCCCATCTTTGCAATGGTAGGTACCCGGTACCGTTCAACTTTGCAAAATGCCCCAGTACTTGCCAACTTTTCGTAGGTGCTATTGCAAAAGGCCAAGGCCCAAACGGGGAGGTCCAGATTGCAAAGTTGCACACCCGCCTGACAGGGGCACAACACAAACATTTCGGCCCAAAAGAACATTCCGCTCTACCCCCATCTTTCAGGGCCATTTTGGCATATATCTCAACTTATGGGGGTATTTTGCAAATTATCCCTTTTCCAGAAACATTTTATGTAGGTGGTTAGTTGAGCAAGATGCAAGATGAAACGGCAGGTGTTTTTTTCTCATGTTTTCCAGTACTCAGCAGAGGCCCAAAAGGAAAAAAAACATGGTGGTAATCCAGGGGCCTAGCTCAGTTGGTAAGGGACGCAAGTGGCATTCAGGAGGTCTTGGGTTCAATCTCCATTGGCCTCATGTACCTTCCTGGGCAAGCTTGGCGCCTGCCACCTAGAGATATGCCGTTGGTCCCCCGAGTGGCATTGAGCAGAGACTGCTGATGCTCATAGGGGGAGGGGACCGGAGGGGAGGCACAGTGACTGGGCCATCGAAGAAGCTCGGTCCTGATGCTACCGGCCGACCCCTGGCCGGTATCGCCCACCTGCTGTAGCAGGTATCGCACCTGCTGATGGGTGCAGCTCCCGCATGTTCCCTCGTTTGGAGGCTTGAGCACGGATGTGGCTGCTACGGGGTTCCCCGTAATACTATAATGACAATATAAAAAGGCCTGAAAGCCTGTCCTGTCTAGATTCGACAGGTAATTGAATTGGTTGGAATTAGCCATTATAAAAAAAAAAAATAAAAAATAAAAAATAAAAAAAAAATGGTGGTGTATCTTCCCATATTTAACTGGAAGATTCATTCTCATTTTGCATATTTGGTGAGTAGTGGAGCGAGGTCCATAATCACAGGTTTTGGGGCCAAAGCATATGGCCCTCGCTCCACTACACCAAAGGCTACATGATTTTGGCAGGCTGCACTAGCACAAAGTGAGTGTATGTGTGCGTGTTTGTGTGTGTGTGAGAGAGAGAGGGGGGAGGGGGCTCTGTAGGGCGGAACATATTTTCTGTTGTTGGATGTAGAGATATTTTCTCTTGCAACATTGGCAAGTAGGATTGTCCGAGATGTCATGTCATGGGTCATGCACGTGAGCAGATGTGTATTGCAGTGCATGCAATGGCATGTGGCATGTGACATGCTTGTTCCAGGGCATGTCGACCTTGTTCAATGTTCATAAACATGGTCGTGTTATAGCGCACTGAGAAGGGGCATGAGCTCAGTGCAACTTCTTCCAATCTTCCAATGTGTTAAGAGAATTGCAGAGCAAAGGTGTCAAAGATTAAGCATGTTACAGGGTCTTGCCACAAATGCAAAAAAGACAAAAATCCGGCGGGTGCATCTGGCCATGTTGTTACAATATAAGCGGACGGAAGAGAGAGAGAGAGAGAGTAAGTGAAATCAAATAGAAAAGAAAAAGAAGGAAGAGAGAGGGAGAGAGAGAGAGAGAGAGAGAGAGAGAGAGAGAGAGAGAGAGAAAGAAAATAGAAAAGAAAAAGAAGGAAGACAGAGAGAGTGAAAGAAAATAGAAAAGAAAGAGAGAGAGAGAGAGAGAGAGAGAGAGAGAGAGAGAGAGAGAGAGAGAGAGAGAGAGAG